AAAAAAATCTATCCCGTGATCTTAAAGCGTCTTCGTCCATTTCAGATTTACGTAAACTGAAAGTATCCGGATGCTTAATAGCTAGTACTACATTTTGTAGACAGCTCGATATTGCAGATGTAAAATCCTATCGTGTAAAAAAAAGAGTCAAGCATTGATCGATACACGTTTTATTTACCATCATAATAAAGAATGTAATTTTAATCAATTTACCTTGAATTTTGGAGAGTTTTTATCAACAAACTTTAACGTTGATTTACAAAACTCGATAGCAGATTTTGTTTCTTTGGAAGAATACGGATTTAGAGCTTTGACTAAACGAATAGCCCGTGGAATAATGACTTTTTCGACAAGTTTTGTCAAAAGTTTATCATTTTCCGAAATATCTGAAGAGGAATTCATATCATTAAACCCAGAAATTGTTTGGTACCATTCCATCTTGCCAAAATCGGAATGATCCTACAATTAACGTGTTAAAATAAAAAAGATGTTAATATAATATGTATATAATTTATCTACTTTGCTTAAGCGCAATTTTAATAATGACCTACCTTAAACGTTTCCCATAACAGTATTTCATATCTCACATAAAATTCAAACACTCCAGGTAAACTTAAATCCCCATACGCCTTTGCATAATCTTCAGAAAATTCTTTTTTCCATGTATCAAATTTTGATTTTACCAAATAAATAGATTTGAAATCATCAATAACATCTTCAAATAATTTAGTTTTGTGATATGAAATTTCGTCTACGAAATAAATGTGATCGTCAATTCAAAGCTTTACAGATATATAACTTATTTCAAAAATGCTTGCTTCAAAAAATCTACCTATTTTAGTAGCCATATCTCTTCCATCAGCTTCTCCTAGTTCATCATCGGTAGATAGTCCTTCCTCCATTTTAACTTTATCTTCCATATCGCGTTGTAACCGTTTAGATCTTCTTTTATCTCTTTGCTGCCGTCGACGTTGACGAGTAGTGTCACTAACACTAAAACTTACAGACGCAGGTGGCTTCACGCGACCGAGTTCATCTATTTCTTGTTGCTGCTCGACATATTCATTAATGTTAAATTTATCTTTAAAAATGAAAATTT